ATATCTACCCTTTCTCACAATCTCTGGATTTGCAAGAATTTTTCAAGACTAAGATTGGGTAAATCCGTACAGCCACCTAACATTTTATCGAGCTCCATTTTTATATATAAAATATATAATTATTATTAAAATTATGAATTTACGACACATATTACTTAATATCAATTGTTATGCGCCGACACCCTTACCTTTTTCCGTCGCATTTATGCCTCGATGTACATGCTCATTACTCTATCTATGGACTATATCTATGTCTTGAGTTCCACTCACTATTCTATGGACCCTATATTTCCGGCTAGACAGAGGACCCCTACAAGAAAACACAAGGACCAGTCTCTTTCCATCTGTACGTCTAGACACACATAACCTATAGTAAATCTTTAATGAAACTTTGTATAATTAAATTCTGTAATAAATTTATTAAAACTTGTGGTGTGTTTAAAAATATCAAATTACCTTCATCGCTAAAGGCAAATATATAACATTGGTGGCAGCTTGTGAGATGAACTGAAAAATAGGCCTGAATGTAAGGTAATATTTTGTAAATTTTACAAAATTAAAAAAAAACACATCGACGTCACAAAATAAGCGAAGGAAGTATTCCGTATCGGACACAAGGATCGGACAGAAACGTATAGCGTGGAAATCTGGGACGGCCCAGGTATCGGACAAAGCCGCAGACATCCACAGCGTACTCGAAGTTCTTTTGGCCCGAATTCCGCCATTACGGCATAATACACAAAAAGGAACGCATTTTGGATGCCATTACAGGACAGTACCTTATACATATTTTATTAGAGTTATACGGTCATTACCAAATTTTAGACATTCTATTTCTTTCTAATATTTATCATAATATAAATTTTCATGTTATTTCCATATTTTTCTATATCAAAGTTTTCATATTAAATAATGTTTTAATTGGCAAAAATTTAATTGTAACTAGTGTGTGATATTTTACAACATCTTCTATATTCCATTTCAATTACCATTTCTACTATTTCCAAATTAATCACACTAATTGCAATTATATTTGTTTAATTATACCATATTTTACTATATCCTACTATTTTAAGTATTTCCATATCTTGTTTTCTAAATCTAGACTATAGCTGTGTTTTGTGTGTGAAAGTATCATATTTACTAAATCTACTATTTCTTACAAATTACTATTTCTATTTTCTATATCCTATTTGATCACACATTTTACAACTATATTCTTAATATTTACTATATTCAAAATCAATATTTACAATATTCAAAGCAAATTCTAATTCTACTATATCTTAATTACCATTTTCTTTCATCATTAAAATTTATACTATTTATAGAACTTGATTGTGATATAGTGTAAAATTACTATATTTTACTATTTCATTATACTATATTTTACTATTTCATTACACTGTATCTACTAAATCATTATACTATATTACTATTTCCAATTAACCACACTGTTCATAATTATTATTTTTTTAATCATTACTTTTTTTTTTAAATCTCATTTAAACAATTTTACTAATCTCATGTTAAATGTGTAGGTTAATATATTGAATGTACCAGCAGAGCTTCGAGTATCCAAATCAGAGAATCATTAGCAGATCCAACGAGTCCAATTTTGAAAAATTATTCTACGAGTCCATTTTTGAATATTGTTCTACGATTAGTCTCAGAATCAGGTAACCAATCACTTTACTAGTAGACTCAGTTTTCAATAGGGTTTCATCAGATCCCAATGAGTGCAGAGGATAAATCAAAAACAGCTTTTTCCACACCTTCTAGCCATTTCGAATTCAAACGTATGCCGTACGGTTTAAAAAATGCACCGGCTACGTTTCAACGCTTAATGAACTCTGTATTAACCGGGCTACAAAGTGTAAAATGTTTTGTTTATCTTGATGATATTGTAATATATTCAAATACTTTAAAAGATCATGACGATAGACTTTGTGAAATTCTGGAAAGACTTAGACAAAATAACTTACGGTTACAGCCAAACAAATGTAATTTCTACTGTAAAGAAGTATACTATTTAGGGCATATAATCACTCCCGAGGGTATAAAACCTGACCCCTCCAAAATAGACGCAGTTTTAAATTTTCCTATTCCAAAAAATTCTAAAGATATTAAATCCTTCCTAGGCCTTGCGGGTTACTATAGGCGTTTTATTAACAACTTTTCTAAAACTTCCAGACCTCTTAGTAATCTATTAAAAAAATATGTTACATTTAATTGGACCTCGCAAGAACAACTTGCATTTGAAAATTTGAAATCTGCTTTAATTACTGCACCAGTTCTTATTTATCCAAACTTTGAAAAACAATTTAATTTAACTACTGATGCTTCAGGCAAAGCTTTAGGTGCTATTCTCTCCTAGGGTGAGATTGGTAAGGATTTGCCCGTCGCATATGCCAGTCGAACTTTAAATAAGGCTGAATTAAATTATTATACTATTGAAAAAGAGTTACTTGCAATCGTATGGGCTGTACGCCACTTTAGACCTTATATTTTCGGCGTGAAGTTTACAATCGTTACAGATCATAAGCCTCTCACATGGCTATTTAATTTAAAAGATCCAGGCTCACGTTTAATGCGTTGGCGAATTAAACTTGAAGAATTTAATTATGAAATCGTTTACAAAAAAGGGAGTAGCAATACTAACGCAGATGCGTTGAGTCGTATTTATAATGTAATTACTGATGATATTAATAATTTTAGAGAAACACTTTCTTCTCAAATAATCACAAACCCTAACATAATTGAAGGAAGTAACGATAATTTTATTTCTGGCAAACGCTCCATTTGCATCGATACCCCAAAAACCTTCCTAAGCTCCCATATTTTATTTTCAAAAATCCAAAGTAAATATAATAGAACAAATGAATTAATTGCTCAAAATAAAGGGGTAGGGGATATAGCGTATGTTAAAGATAAAGATATTTTTATATTTTATTTGATTACAAGAAATACTGAAAACGACTTGACTAATTTTGAGATCTTATTCACTACTATTACTAAGTTAAAAGACTTATGCTTACAATTAAATGTAAAGGAATTATCATTACCAATTCTCGTTAACGAGACTGACAACTTAGACTGGACAGAAGTACGTTCCATGCTACGATATATTTTTAAAAATCATGACATTACCATTTTTATTTACAATTATCCTCTTGAACATATATTGACAGATGACGACAAACTTGAATTATTTAATGAATATCATAATATGCCACTTGGTGGACATCAAGGTTTTAAACGTACTTTAAAAAGAATTCTCATTAAATATAACTGGCCTAAACTTCGACGCGATCTTCGAAAATTTATTAAAAATTGTGACTTATGTCAACGCAATAAAAGTTATCACTTGAATAAACATCCCATGATCATTACAGATGCTCCTTCTAAGCCATTCGAAAAATGTTCCCTCGATATAGTAGGGCCATTAACGGAGACTTCTAGGTTTAACAAATATATACTAACATTCCAGGATTTGTTAACCAAGTTTAGTAGAGCAATTGCTATTAAAAGTCAGGATGCCGAGACTATTGCTAGAGTTTTCGTAGAAGACATTGTCTGTAATTATGGCATCCCAACAAAATTATTAACTGACCAGGGCACTAACTTCCTTAGTGCTTTATTTAAAAATACTTGTAAGATACTTAAAATTTCTAAAATCCAAACCACTGCGTACCATCCGCAATCTAATGGCGCATTGGAACGATCCCATCGTACGTTAATCGAATATATAAGAAATTTTGTCAAACCTGATCAGTCGGATTGGGATAATTGGCTGCCTTATGCCATTTTTACTTTTAAAAGTACTCCACATTCAGAAACTGGTTTTAGTCCATTCAGACTTATTTTTGGACATAACCCTGAAATCCCATCCTTTCTCCACAAAGCTCCTGATCAACAATATACATATGACGATTATGCCAAAGAACTTAAACATCGAATTCAATCCGCAAACCAAATCGCCCGAGAAAACCTCATCCTAAATAAACACCTATCCAAAAAATACTATGATCAAAATTCAAAGAAAACTGAGTTTAACGTTGGTGAATTGGTTCTATTAAAGAATGAAACTATTTATAGAGAAAAATCTAAAAAATTAATTATGCCATGGATTGGTCCATATGAAATTATTTCTAAGGACTCATCTGTTAATTATACTCTGCTTTGTGGAAAGAAATCTTTGAAAGTTCATGTAAATAGGATAAAACCTTTTATACAATGATTATAATTCTATTTAAAATGTATATTATTTTCTATTCTTATGTGTTAATTTTAATTCTATTTTCTTATTTCTATTGTTAATTATTGATTTTATACTAATTTTCATTTCTACATTGTACTAGTTTTAAGCATTGATTTTTAAATATTCTTGATCATTTTCATTGTATTAACATATTATTGATTTCCATTTTTCTATGTGTCATTTCTATGTCCTTTGTGAAATTGTTCTTTTCTTTTACTATGTACTTTGTTTCTATATTAAGTTTTTCGATTATAGTTCATAATTTATTGTAAAATGTCTAAATTTGGTAATGAACTATAATCTCCTGAAGGGGGAAGGTATGTTATGCGCCGACACCCTTACCTTTTTCCGTCGCATTTATGCCTCGATGTACATATTCATTACTCTATCTATGGACTATATCTATCTCTTGAGTTCCACTCACTATTCTATGGACCCTATATTTCCGGCTAGACAGAGGACCCCTACATGAAAACACAAGGACCAGTCTCTTTCCATCTGTACGTCTAGACACACATAACCTATAGTAAATCTTTAATGAAACTTTGTATAATTAAATTCTGTAATAAATTTATTAAAAACTTGTGGTGTGTTTAAAAATATCAAATTACCTTCATCGCTAAAGGCAAATATATAACACAATGCTATCAGTTCTTTCGGCAATTTCAAAGTTCGAATTTCGTCAAATTGACTTGGCTTCGTAATCCTAATGTTAATAATAAGGTATAATAAATTTTAGGTCGAGCATTTCTATTCAACCGAGTAGTAAATTTAATGTACAGTGAAGTACAAGACAGAGTGATGTTGACTGGCCGTCATATGGTGCGCGACGTCAGCTGCAAGAGCTGTTCAGCAAAGCTGGGATGGATGTATGAATTTGCAACTGAAGAGAATCAAAGGTGATATAAAGTTAACATGCATTTATTGTTATTCTATTGATAGTGATACGTAGCAAAAATTGCAGAAAATATAAATTGAGTTTTTGAGAGAAAAAACTTTAAATTCGTAACGATGGGGAAAAGTAGTGATTAGTTTTTGGCGAGGCAGGTCCATCCGTTTTGGAGATACGGAGCTAAATGTGCAAAAAATGGTAGTTAAAAATTTGTTTGAATATCGCAAATAATTTGGATTTTAATTTTAATTCTAGCTAAAGTTCTGAAGTTCCTGCAAATGATAACCTTTAATATTACAGCTTTAAAAAAAATTCTACTAATTAATCAATCTGCTTAAATAATACATTCATAAATTGTTATCTGATAACTAGCAATCACTTTGATATTTATATAATTTTGTAACGTTTTTAGGTTTAGGCATTGAACTATATTAATATTTGTAAAGTAAATTTTATGGGTTTGTTTCCTTATTCTAAAAAGATTAAAATAATTATGATATGTTTTTAAAAGGCCGATTAAAAAAAATCGGTGATCAGGAATATTATCGAATTTGCTATTATAAATAAATTTATAATGTGTTTAGTCAAGTTACGTATAATAGCCACAAGCACTGCACTCTGATATGAAATTGTTTGAACATAATGACGTCACAAATACGGTAGCCAATCCTGGCGTGTTCAGTCACATGATTATTTTTTAAATTTTATTAAACTATTTAAAAAAAATTCAATCATAAACGATTATATAATTGAAAATTTTAACTTCCCGTAGGTTAAGTTATTGTAACTGGCCGAAAATAGAAAATGAAAATTTTTGCATATCTTCACGTTTTGAAGGTTTCTGAACATTCTGGCATACCTCAGAAAAAATGGATATGTGTGTATATATGTATGTGTGTGTGTGTGTGTTTTGTATGTCTGTATTTTTTCGTTCACGTTTTCGGGCGCACGGTTCAACCGATTTGAATGGTTCAAAAACATTCGATTCCTATTAATAGGGAGATGTGCTGATTAGTTTTTGGTAAAGGCTCGTCCAGCTGTTAGATACAGAGCAAAGAGTGCGGAAAATATAAATCGAGATTTTGAGAGAACGGAGCATCCGATTCAAATGATCTAACAAACATTCAGTTCGTAATGATGGAGAGAAGTGGAGATTAGTTTTGGCAGGTCCAGCCATTACAAAGATACGGAGCTAAATGTACAGAAAATGGCAGTTTTTGAAAGAACTAAGCATGCGATTGGAATGAGTCAAAAAACTTTCTGCTTGTGTTGACGAAACAATTTTTTTTCAAAAACATTTTTTATATATCGAAAATAATTCAAATTTTAATATTAATTCTTGCTAAAGTTCGAAAGCTTTAAATTTCACTTATATACTTTAAATGAATAATTTTAACTTTGTAATTCAGTTTATATAATTCGTATAAATATTCGACAATGTTGCAGTATTTATTTATAATAATCTATTTGAAAACATTTAATATTCTTCGAACATTTCTTTACGATACGGGAAGTTCCAGCAATTTGCAGAAAAAATGGATGTGTGTGTGTGTGCGCGGATACAAATTTTTGTCGACGATTTCGGGAACACCGATCAACCGATCAAAAAACATTCAATTCGTATTGATAAGGAGACGTGGTGATTAGTTCTTGGTGAAAGCAGGTCTAACCGTTCCGAAGATACGGTGCAAAAAGTGCCAAAAACGGTAACTCAGTTTTTAAGAGAACGGAGCGCCCGATTTTAATAATTCGAAAAACATTTTACTTGTATTGACAAGATGAAGAACTGAATAAATTTTTGGGAGGGCAGGTTCAGCGGTTATGGACTCTCAATAAAAATAAGTTAAAAAAAATTCCATTTGGCGGTCAAAAATGTTCATTGGACATATGTACATCAAATTATAAGATATTTTATAGAGATTTTAATAATGTGTACATATTTTGTGTAAATTTTGTTGGATTCTGTACCAAGATTTTTAATTTTAAAATTCACGTATATGGTTCAAAGAAATATCCTCGACATTTTCGACAGTATGGAATAACCGATTTGAATAATTTAAAAAACATTCCATTTGTGTTGATAAGTAGACTTGCTATTTTATAAGTTTTTGGCATAGGCAGGTTGAGCCGTTTTGAAAATACGGGGCAAAAAGAGCTAAAAATAGTAATTCAGTTTTTGAGAGAACGAATCATCCGATTAAATTAATTCAAAAAATATTTTGCTTGAGTGCAAAATATGCTTTTACAGAAAATTTCGTAATTTCAAAAATTTAAAAAAAAATCAAAATTTTCAAAAAAATTCAAGGTTTCAAGAAATTCAATATTTCGAAATTTTTCATTATTTTCAAACTTAAAATAAATTTTGAAAAATTTAACAAGATATCAAAATTAAAAAAAAAACGAATTCTTACAAAAATTTGAGAATATTTTCAAATTTTCAAAACAATCAAATATTTTAAAATTTTCAAAAAAAAAAATTACACAAAAGTTTTTTTTTTTTTAAAAAATTTCAAACTTATAAAAAAACTCAAAGGTTTGAAAAAAAATCTAAAGTATCAAAAGAAATCAAATTTAAAAAAGAAATGAACAAATTTCTTATAAATATACACACAGTTATTTACGCTCATCGCCTAATTTAAAAAACTTATAAGTATACAGTATATAAGTATAAGCTTATAAGTTTACAGTATATATTTATAATAAATATATACTGTATATATATAGCTCTTCGCCAAGATTTTTCAAAAACCGTTCTAAATTAGAGTGCGAGTAATGAACTCAAATTTTCCCGTCTTTTCTTCTAACGTTGGTTTCTACATCCATCACATGGTAGGCAGGAGATGTTGACGTTCTAGGTTGGCTCATCATTAGCATGGATAGGGGTTGTGTAGCTGATCGTAAGTAGACCTCCATACCAATGAACTGAATTTATTTCATTGATATTTAGCACACAGAAGAAACAATTGTCATCGTGATTCTTAGTTTTTTTAAATGATGGGATTATAGATTTAAATGATGCGATAATAGTATTTTTTTCTGAATTAACCTATTATTAGCCTATATAGTCAAAATCTGTGTCAAAAGTTGCTTGGGTGATGTGATAGGTCAAACATTATTAATTTATTAAAATTTATAATGATAAGCTACAATTTTAGGACATACAAGCACGTGTCTGTGCAATGGCAAATAAAGGCGTTTGCGAAAATTCAATTAAAAATTGTAATATTTAGATAATTGAAAGCGAAAACTTTATTTTCGTAATAAACAGTTAAAAATTTTATCTAAATCTTCCTGGTGGAAACAAACCTTTTCTTCGGAAAATTTATGATTGATTTAAATGTCTAATTCCAATAAGTTTATTAATTTTGAGATGAAAATAGACTTGGAACATCGCATGAAAACATGAGACGTTCTTCACCTGTGGGCTGGGGCCGCGCCCGGTGAGCATCTCTAGTTTGTACCGATATTTAGTTAAATCGTATATATCAATATTTCTCGAAATTATTACGTGCTTTTTTATGATTATTTATCTTTCGATTATAGAGTAATTTTGATATAAAAAAATAATATTTAAAAAATAATTGTAGGTACAAAGAAGGCCGAGTAATTTTGGAAAGAGCATTGGTGACAGAATCAGATGGTTTTGATGAAGCAGTGGCGCATGCTGATGATTAATTTATATTAAAATAAAATTCTATGCTTATGATTATTAACATACATTTTACTTTGTCTATAAATAATGAATATACAAAATTCATTTATCCATCAATTTGCTGTTACTATTACCATATGATTTAACTTATAATTAGGTTAAGAATCCAAAAACTTTAGGTTTGAAATCAAAACAGGAAGAGTATTTTAAAATAAATATAAATTGTTCAAGTCGTAATTTCTTTCTTTCAATGTGTTTATTGCAGTGTGTCGACTAAAGAATAAAGATTTAATAATAGTTATACTCACTATTAGACACAGTAATTTTGGTCAAATAAAAAAATGTGTAATGGTCATAATTATAACAAAATATGTTATTGAAAAAATAACTATTTGCGTTGATGACATTATGCTTTAAGGCAAATTGCTGAAACTTCCCATAACGTAAATAAATTCGAGGATTTAAAAAAAATCTATAATGTTGTAACTATTACTATCACATTTGTATTTATTTTGTGGGAGTCAGGTAGGCGATGACATGAAGAAAGAGTAAGCCGCGTAAAAGAAAAAACTTGTGTTACATGGTGTCTTGCCTCAATTTTAAATGTTTTCAAATAGATTATTATAATTACTATAATTTTCGTTATTCGCATTTTAACTATCTCATAATTCTAAGAACTATATAAACTTATTTCAAGTATGTATGTGAGCTCTAGAATTTTAGCTAAAATTAAAATTAAAAGCCGAAAAATTGTTGATATTAAAAAAAAATTATTTTCTTTTTAACTTTGAAATAAAAAACATTTGCCTTCTCCAATAAGTAATCGTTTCTTCAAGCAAAATATGTTTTAAATCATTTGAATCGGATGCTTTGTTAGCTAAACTAAAATTGAATTGAAATGAATAAAATAGAATTGAATGTTTTTGAATCATTCGAATCGGTTTGAGCGGTGCTCTCGGAAACGTCGCAGAAAAACTGTACCTATGAGACGAAGTTTGGAAATAATAATACCGCCGAAAAATCGGGCGGTTTACCGGTAATTCGGTATACCGGTATACCGATATTACATTCCCCAACATGTGACATACATACATACATACATACACACATGAACACATGACGTAGCCATAGTGGTTGTTGCCAAGCACATCGATGAGATGTAAGTCTATTTGACATAACTTTGAGAAAAGTTAATCGCTGGATGGAAAGAATGAACTTCGAATTGTCACGACAAAAGAGTGAAGCTGTTGTTATTACAAGTAGAAAATAATAGAGACCACATTAAAACCTTACATTTATTACACAGGCCAACAAAAAAAAGTTTTTTTTTTGGTGCCTCAAATGTTAGAGCTGATTCTTATAGTATTTTTTGCGCTGATTTCAAATCTGCAAATCATTTTTTTGTATCAGCTCTAGTTTTTGAAATACAAAGAAGTTGCCGAAACCAGCTCCATTCGAGTTCGTCACGGAAAAGAACTTTTCACAGTGTCAACTAATGTCCCAACTAAGGCCGAATGGGTCTTGTAAGTTTGTATGTACGAGTAGTCATATCTCATTAAAGTAACATTCGGAATTGTATTACTCTTTTGTACTTTCCTTTCTTATATTAGGTGCGCAACTAAGTTCTCGCTGTTTGTCAGTATATGGCTCTATCAGTAAGGGTTGGTCGATTTTGACAAATCGAAAACGTCTTGAAGCAAGCTTAGAGTAAGTAAACAAACTGCTGCGACATATAATTGATTTCGTTTTTGCATTATATACTTCTGGTTAAGTGAATATGTCCAATTTTATGCCAAACAATCGTTATTCGCGAGGAGTGTTGATTTTCGTCTTCCATTCAAAAAAAAAAAAAAAAACGGGAACTCAAGTGCATCTAGACCTACGGAAATGTTGCTCTGAGCGAAACAACATGCCGTGAAGGGTTTTGTCGCTTCAAAAATGGTGATTTTGATGTTGACGACCACCCTCGTGAAGGAAAGCCAAAACCTTCAAAAACGCTAAATTGAAGGCCTTGTTCGAAGAGAATCCGTGCCAAACTCAAGAAGATATTGCTTTAGAATAAGGAGTTACCCATCAAGCCATTTCCAAGCTATTGCATGCGTCGGGGATGATTTAGAAGCAAGAAACTTCGGTTCCTTGTGAGTTGAAGCCAAGAGACGTCGAGCGTCGTGCTTTCGCCTGTAAACAACTGCTCCAGCGGCGAGAAAAGAAGAGGTTCTTCATCACATCGTGACAGGTGATGAAAAATGAATACATTACAGCAATCCAAAGACGAGAAAATCTCGGTTCGGCCGAATATTCACTTCGAAGGTTATGCTCTACATATGGTGGGACCAGGTCGGTGTTATTTGTTATGAGCTGTTGAAACCGAGTGAAACCATCACTGGAGAACTGTATCGAACTCAATTGATGCAATTTTTTTATAATAAAGTTACATCTTCATCGAAAAAACAGCGAGAACTTAGTTGCGCACCTAATATCGTAAAATATATCATATATATCGTATCTTGAAAACTAAAGCTCATAGAAACAAACCAATGTCATTTTTGAAATCAGCGCCCCAAATATACTTAAAAACAGTATTAAAATCGTTTGCACCATTTTCTTTGTTGACCTGTGTTATCTAAGGGCAATCAGTAGTTAGGACGAGTCTTGATCGGTAGATGCCTAATATTGGAGGCCCCATGTTGATGTTCTAGGTTGGCTTATCATTAGCATGGATAGGGGTTGTGTAGCTGATCGTAAGTAGACCTCCATACCAATAAATTGAATTTATTTCATTGATATTTAGCACACAGAAGAAACAATTGTCATCGTGATTCTTAGTTTTTATTAAATGATGGGATTATAGATTTAAATGATGGGATTATAGATTTAAATGATGGGATTATAGATTTAAATGATGGGATTATAGTTTTTTTTCTGAATAATATCGTAAACACACTACCCATGTTTTACCTTCATCGCACAATTCAGTTTTAAAGTGGTTGAAATGCGATGTCTTTAAGTAGTTCGATATAGGTTTCCGGTATTTGTCGAAAACATATAAACATGTAACAAAAACTATCTGGATTATGCATATAACGTCTTAGAGCCGAAGCCATATCGAAAATTGCAGATAACACTTTTAGTTATTCGTTAAACTGCGTTAATCAAAGCCCAAGCGACTAATTGGGATAGTTCAATAAAATACAAAAACTACAGCTGTTACGGTAAAACGGAAGGTATATTTGAAATCAGCTTGCAATTTTAAGTGGATTTTAAAAAAAGAGTTCGAGAAAAAAATAAAAGTGCCTTTTTTGTCGCGCAGTGGTATTAATTTCGCGAAGAAAAAGTTTGTTTTCAAAAACAAAAACCCGATTTTCTAATTTTATGTTTGCTCGACGTTTCAAGCCATTCTGAATCGAATGAGACGAAGTTTGGAAAAAGTATGTATGTGTGTGTTTTGAATTTGAATTTTTACCTTTTGTTGAAATCGTTTCTCAAAAAGCTGTTAGATGTATCTCGATAAGTACTTGCGTTTGCCAGTTTTGAGCGACAAATTATTCGTCCACGTTTTAGCCCGCATTTCTGAATCGATTTTAAAAATTCAAAAACTATTTGAAAGATATTGGTTGGCAATCGACCTGATTAGTTTTTGGTAAAGATTTGCTGGCACAAAATATTGTAATTAACTGTAACTTGATATATTACGGCTTTACGGCAAGTCGCGTTTTTTGACGTTTTTTAATATTAGATCCTTTATCAAGGTTTTCTCAAAAACGGTTTAGTCGATTTCAAGCATTTTGAAATGAAACTTGATAAGCACTCGCGTGGGTTAGGTTTTTGTCAGATTTAGCCGATCTAAAAATTTTCGTCCACGTTTTAGCCAAAAATTCTAAATCAATTTTAAAAATTCATAAACCATTCCAAAGATATTTTTTGGGTGTTGCGCTGATTAGTTTTAGGCAAAGATCGGCCGAGCTCTTTCTTTGTAATTAACTGTTGTAAAAGTTCAAAAACCTATTATAGTCAAAATCTGTGTCAAAAGTTGCTTGGGTGATGTGATAGGTCAAACATTATTAATTTATTAAAATTTATAATGATAAGCTACAATTTTAGGATATACAAGCACGTGTCTGTGCAATGGCAAATAAAGGCGTTTGCGAAAATTCAATTAAAAATTGCAATATTTAGATAATTGAAAGCGAAAACTTTATTTTCGTAATAAACTGTTAAAATTTTATCTAAATCTTCCTGGTGGAAACAAACCTTTTCTTCGGAAAATTTATGATTGATTTAAATGTCTAATTCCAATAAGTTTATTAATTTTGAGATGAAAATAGACTTGGAACATCGCATGAAAACATGAGACGTTCTTCACCTGTGGGCTGGGGCCGCGCCCGGTGAGCATCTCTAGTTTGTACCGATATTTAGTTAAATCGTATATATCAATATTTCTCGAAATTATTACGTGCTTTTTTATGATTATTTATCTTTCGATTATAGAGTAATTTTATATAAAAAAATAATATTTAAAAAATAATTGTAGGTACAAAGAAGGCCGAGTAATTTTGGAAAGAGCATTGGTGACAGAATCAGATGGTTTTGATGAAGCAGTGGCGCATGCTGATGATTAAGTTATATTAAAATAAAATTTTATACTTATGATTATTAACATACATTTTACTTTGTCTATAAATAATGAATATACAAAATTCATTTATCCATCAATTTGCTGTTACTATTACCATTTGATTTAACTTATAATTAGGTTAAGAATCCAAAAATTTTAGGTTTGAAATCAAAACAGGAAGAGTATTTTAAAATAAATATAAATTGTTCAAGTCGTAATTTCTTTCTTTCAATGTGTTTATTGCAGTGTGTCGACTATAGAATAAAGATTTAATAATAGTTATACTCACTATTAGACACAGTAATTTTGGTCAAATAAAAAATGTGTAATAGTCATGATTATAACCAAATATGTTATTGAAAAAATAACTATTTGCGTTGATGACATTATGCTTTAAGGCAAATTGCTGAAACTTATTTTATTTACCCATAACGTAAATAAATTCGAGGATTTAAAAAAAATCTATAATGTTGTAACTATTACTATCACATTTGTATTTATTTTGTGGGAGTCAGGTAGGCGATGACATGAAGAAAGAGTAAGCCGCGTAAAAGAAAAAACTCGTGTTACATGGTGTCTTG